TACAGTAAAACTAACTAGTTAAATCATCTAGCATTTAATTCTCTTCATTCTTAAGTAGGATAACTGCAGCATTTTTCTGGATTTTGGTGAATAAATATATTGCCTGCATTCTATCGAATCACCGATTGTGGTTAAGATGATACTTCTACTTCTGTTTCAGACAAGCAATACGTATCTTTATCTATTCCAATTGCAAGAAAATCAGGTGATTACGATAGAGAATCCAGGCTATCCTTTATGAACCAAATGCTGTGCACATCCTAGTCCTGTCAGAATGAATAACGACATCCGTATGGCTTAAAGTTGAGCCAAGATCAGAGAAACCCCAGGTAAAGGATTTATTTGATTATTGCGAAATCCACCATCACTGATTCCAATTTCCCGGTTTTGCATTTATTACATTCTTTTTATGTCTAAGGGTATATCAAAACGATATTACAATTATCTAACAGGCATGGAAGATACTAATATCAAAGCATCAGGAAGAAAAGTATGCATTCTGCTCACGAAGTTTTGGTTTTTGATGCCTTATAATTAATTCCAGATTACTTGCCGATGTCTGTTCGACGTTGCTCTCGCTAAGTTTTTGTCATTCTGCTTGGAACATCTTCATTAGTGATTCTACCACCACATGTTCACAATCTCATCCTGCAATCCCTGGGGCCAGCTTACACCCTTCTCTTTGGCACCACCTGCATATTAGGCCACACCAAGTAATTTACATGGAGGATGTCTGTGCGCATTGATTTTGGCCTATTCCCAGAGGCAGAGAAAAAAAAACATAAAAAATATTCTTTTTTTCACGCTCTCGCATTAGATGTGGGGTCTTTAGAGGACGTCATCCTTCAAAATTACCTGTTGTGGCCTTAGGCCTAGAAAAAAATGCAGTGTTTCCCACTTGACCCAAGAAACAACTGCCGACCCTAGCCTTTTTGTAGCCAACATTGACATTGAAAATATAAGTGTCACCATGCACGTTTTACTTGATTAACTCCGTTGTTTGATTTAGATAAAGAGAAATAAAAGAAAAAAAAACTTCCTATCGATCCTATTTTTTTCAGGAGTGAAACAGGAAACACAACATTTTTCCTTGGCCTTACCCAGGCAGCAGGGCAGTGGGCGGCAAGCACGATTACCGGGAAGCATAGGTTTGAAGTACCGGCCAGGATCTTTCTGGCGTTAGCGTGATGCAGTTCCGCCCACGGGATGGATGTAATAGCCGATTACTTTATTCATCAGTCAAGCCGTAACACTATTCCATAGATCAGCTATGTCTGCGAACTGGGATGCACGCTGCACTTTTCGACATTTGATAAAACTCATGCATATTTTACCCCTTTGAAAAAGTCTGAAGCTACACTAGTAGCTATACCTGGGCTACAAAGATTACATGGCCGCCTCGAAGCTTACAGGCAATCTACGTGGTACACAATGACAACGAAACATTACCTCTCTGTTGTTAGGATGGCAAATATGGATTTCGATATATTATTAAATTTCCATATATTATTATATTTTTCATACAATGTCATGTTGTTTGTATTTGCAAGTTGTTTCTGATTTTTTTTTACAAATAATTGACTTTTTGTACTGTTTTAGTCATGCTTGGCGATGTGGATACATGTCGTCGCTACTCTGTCTGGTCTACTTATTTTGCTTGATATGTTTTGAATTACTGGATGTTTTAATTAAAATATCTACGTGCGTCAATGTTGATATTTATGACGTCAAACTCCTAATTTATACTACATATCCAAACAATATTCATGCGTATCTGTAGACAAAAAACAATGCATAGACAGTCTGGGATAAAATACGCAGTATGATATTAGTATATTTATAATTTATAAGTCATGATGTACTTCATAATCACCTTCAGGCATGGGAACATTACTTTGCCCGGTGTCCTGCTGATATCGACATCTGCGTTGACGTGATATATACGTTATCTCTATATTTTATAGAAGTATGAAATATTCACTGTACGTAGAAATGACGTACAGCTCGTTGTCATTATCTTTCAGTAATAACGATATATATTAGCACTCTGTAATTACTTCCTAAATATTTCCCTCAGTAATTACAGTTTAATCCCCCTTAGTACTGATTGATCTGCCAATAAGGTACCTGGTATGGCACAACGTTGTATGGTTCATTTGGGGTAGAAAAAAGTTACTCCAACAGATCGAAGTGTTAAAGGCATCCAGTGGAGTTTTTTTTAGCTTGGAAACCCGTTTTTTAAGTCAATATTCTTATCACTTATCTACAAACTAAGTTAAAACATCACTAGTGTATATCGACAGTAATGGAGCAAAAAGGCCCCAAATTTCTGATTTTAAAGGTACCATCCAAAAAATAAAGGACTTATCTTGGGGCTTCTGCAATGCATATGGCTAAAAAGTATGAAATACTGATTCAATTGTGCTACATGGTTAATATCATATCATAACATGTGTTAATATCATATAGATAGCCTTATTCAGAATATTTCCAGTTTTGCCCAGAAATTGCATTGGATGACTTCAAGTGACCTCTGGTAAGTTAGACGCAGTACTGACCAAATAGGTCCGAATCGTTCACACAGATAGAAAATTGTAAAGTTTATATGGTGTGTCTATAAAACACACAGGAATAGGTAGAGCTTTTATTAGAATCTATTTTATATCTGGTTGCGCTCATGATTAGCGTTGGAAATGCCTTGGGTAGTGATAACGTTTGCTAGGATGGTATGAAGGCACTAGCCTAATAAACGTTAACTTTACTGCCATGGCATATATCAAGAGCTCGTAGAAAATGGGAGTAGTAAGTAGAGCTAGATTTCTTTTGCCCTCATAAACGTGAAAATAACACAGTCACTGGTATACTATTAAACGTACCGTACGAAATTGCAGGGAGCTGGCAAGCTGTCGTTTGTCTTCGTTTGTAGTTGAGGAAAACGCCGTGATTTAATTCCAGGAACTTTCAATATCGAAGTTTCCCACCACTCAACTAATTACATGTAGCATCTATGGCGTAAGAAAGTTCAGTAGTGTACGGTCATCCACAAATCTCCTTCACATTGTGAAAATTGCCTGACCTATAACAAATGTTCTACTATATACCGACGTGAAAAATGGATCTGCAGGAAGTTCTGTTGGCATTATGCCACAACAAGTAATTTTAATTGGATGACATCAGCGCGCACATTTATTTTCTCTTGATGTTAAAAAACAAGATTTTTTTGCCCTCTGACGGTGGTCAACATACCAAAATAGGCAACTCTATCGAATTAGATTTGGAGTCTACAGAGGATGTCATCCATAAAATGTACTTGCTGTGGCCTT